TGGGCTCGGACTTGAGGCATTTTGGGTTGCAGCCCATAGATGATGGACCAGGTAAGGTCCATGTATATAAGAACAAGTTCTCGACTGAAATCAGTTCTTACTCTCTTTTCCTATTCACGGCCGCAAACTCCTCTACTCTCTCTCATTCTCGCTTTTTGATTCATCTCTTTTTCGTAAAATTGTTTGCTTCTCTTCTTAGGTATGTCTGTTTCGATCACTATCATGCTTAAAATACAAAGAATCGACTGTAAATCGTGGCCTAAATCGAAGAAAACTCACTGATCGGCGTTCACGACCCTTTGTAGGGTTTGCGGCCATTGAAGGGTTCACGACCGTGAACCCGTTTGCGGCTATAAACCTCTTTTAACCATGAACCCCCAATTTTTGGACCTAATTTTTTTGTTTTTCACACTAAAAAAAATAATTAAATCCTGATTAAACTGTTTAATGAGAAAAACATTAAAACTTAGTTGTGTAAATCATTGGTTTCTTACTTGGCTTGGTTAATTGCAGATCGCAATGACAAACTTGAGGTTTTTAGACACTCATAACCTTGCTCTCTTCTCGGTTGATCCACCTGCTCCTCATGGTGACTTTAAATCCATGATCAATGGGTTGAAGGAGTACTTTTTGAATTTTGCTCTTACCGCAAGTCCAATTATTTATCAAGAGCCAGTGAAACAATTCGGGATAACCGCCATTATACTAAAAGAAAATGGTGAGGTTGTTTCGGTGGTTGCCACTATACACAACAGGAAAGTATCGATCACCGAGCAAGTAATTCGTGAACTTCTTCAGATCGATGGCCAGCTAGGTTTTCTAACTGAACTTCCATTGGACAAGACCAAAGAAATCGTTGCTCACATGGGTTATGAGGGTGTCTTTCCACAATACCTTGTGGTATTAGTCCCATTTTATTGCTCGATTCTCAAATCACGATCCCAAATTCTTAGGTAATCTCATGGTTGCAGAAATCGGGATTAATCGTCGATAATTCGTGAATTAATCGTCTGGCGTTCTCCAACCGTCGAGTATTAGGGTATTAATCAGAAATTTATGATTAATTGTGTATGGCGAGATTAATCGGTCAACAAAAGTAAAAAAAAAATGTCAAAAACTTTTAAAAAAATAAAGAGTAAATTACACGAATGGTCCCTAGGTTTGGGGTAATTTGCATGATTGGTCCCTAACTTATTTTTTTAACTCGGAAGATCCTTATTGTTTGTTTTTATTACGCGCTTGGTCCCTACTATTTGTTTTTCTTACGTGTTTGGTCCCTATCTTAGCTAAAAATACTATTATTTAAATATGAAAAAATGTTATGGTAGGTGAGATAATAAATTAAAGAAATCAAGGGTAAAATAATCTTTTTATGTAAGACAGGAACCAAGCGCGTAACAAAAACAAACAATAGGGACCTTTGGAGTTAAAAAAATAAGTTAGGGACCAAACGTGCAAATTACCCTAAACCATAGGGACCATTCGTGTAATTTACTCAAAAATAAAAAATTCAAAGAATGAACTTTTTTTACTCCAAAATTTTCAAATTTTCAAAATTTCAAATATTATAACAAAATGTTCATATTTTTGAATTTTCAAATTTTCAAATTACAAAATTTCATATTTTCTAATTTTAAAGTACTTGTTTTTTTTAAGATATATAAATATTTGATTAATTTTAATAATCTATGGTTCCTGATTAATCTCTGTAAAGACCGATTTATCCCTTAACACCAGTCGACCGTCGAGCTATCGTCGAGCGATTTTTACAACCTTGGGTAATCTAAAGCGATTCTCCATTTTAACTTGATCAGATTCTAAAACTAGCCCTAATTGGTAGAGGACTCAACATTCTCGAGATTGGTTTAATGTTTTTCGGACATGACACCCTGTTAAAGGCAGCCTACCTAATATGGACCATAGTTCTAATTGACATTCACAACGATGACTTACACACTAGAAAACGGTGGGGAAATGATAATAGATGAATCCAAAGGAAAAACTCATCCATAAAGGGGGATTTTGGGGCTGGACAGGTTCGCCCACAAAAAGTCATGGATCTGGGATCTGTATACCACATTAGTTTTATGATAATATTGATTTCCTCTATTATTCCAATTATACAATAAAAACATCGAAAGTATTACTGGGAAGCATTGCAGTAGGGCAAGAAAAGCAGGACACACCAGAAACTTTTTTTGTGAATGATAGGGATGTGGCGAACAACTGGATCAGGAGAAAGGATAAAAGAAACTGTTGGATGATTCCGATGACACCGATGTTTCTCCGGCGACTCCGCCGATTGGCCGACAACTCCAACGGTGGTCTGGCGACTCTGCCAATGGTCAAACTTCTAATTAGGTTGAGAGATGTCATATTTAATATTAGTACAGTGGGGGTGGGAGGGGGCTTATTTGTTGATTAATTAAAAAATAAATTTAAAAGTTTAAAACCAGTGCCTCATATTTGTTCTCAATTGTTCTTGATTTAAGAAATGTTCACATTTGAACACACACACACACACACACACACACACACACACATATATATATATATATATATATATATATATATATCATTGTTGTAAAAATCCCGACTAGATCCCGATTAATCTTCAATTAATACCTAAGCGCTACCAGACCAACAAGAATACGCCTAGCGATTAATGCATGTCTACTTAAGTAGTGAATACGTAAAAAATGATGAAATTTTAACATATTAAAAATGTTTATCTCAATAGAAACTATTTGAGTAAAGATTAGTGTTGTGTTAATCATATTAACCCATTTTGTTATGATATTAGTGGTATTTATAAGCTTGTTTATGATACTAGTTATATTTATTTATTTTTAAATCAAAGAATTAGCAATTTATGGTCCCCGATTAATCACTGCCCCAATTAATCCCTGCTTCGTCGATTAATCCCTTAACCCCGGTGCACCGATTAATCCCCACATACAAGCACAAGCATACACACCAATGGTGGTGTTCACGCATAAGCGACCTTGCTACGTATGCGATCACACGTAGAACCCCCCCCCCCCCCGACAACCTACCGCTTAGCCTTATATGTAGGTGGGGATAGGAGGTACGCGTGTGATTGCCTACGTGGTAAGGTAGCATGCGAGTGAACACCGCCTCCACTTTCTGTAGCTTCCTTGTGGCGTGACTCCAGCTACGGGAAAAGACGCTTGATTTGATTAGGGTATGCATTTTTTACCATTTTTTTATCCTTTGTAAACTTTGCATTTGGAATAAACAAAAATCAAATTTAAAACTTCATATATATATATATATATATATATATATATATATATATATATATATATATACACACACACACACACACACACACACACACACACACACACACCAACACATATTTTCAACAAAAAAACACTTTCAAACAATATGAATAATTTTGGTGGGTTCAATTTTTTCTTCTTCATTCGATGATGATGATTATGTTGATGAGTTGGTTTTACACATGTTGTCCACAGTATGCGATGTGATGCATCAAAGAGGCAAAAGTTCAAATGTTGAGAAGATGCATAGAATTTCGATCAATGGGGGTCGTATCGCGTCACATGAACTTTTGGCACGTGATTAATTTTCTTCTGATAGTTTATGCGTCCTATCGAAATTTGAAGATCGTTTTCGTATTAGTAGAAATTTATTTGTAAGTATAGCTAGAGCTTTGGCAAACAATTATTAGTTTTTTCAATTGAGATGGGATGTTAGAGGTAAACATGGTTTTAGTACAATAAAAAAATGCACAACTCTTAGACAATTGGCATACGACATAGTTGCACACATACATGATGAATATTTGAAAATGTATGAGAGGACGGATCGAGAATGTGCCTATATTTTTATGAGTATATTATAGAGCTTTATGGTGACAAATACGTACGACATCCGACTAGGAGTGATGTAGAACAATTGTATGCAACACATGAAGCTAAACATGGTTTTTCAGGAATGTTTGGTTGCCTTGATTGTACACATTAGGAGTGGAAAATTTGTCTCGATGCATGACGAGGTCAATTCACACAAGGTGGTCATGGCGTGCCAACTAATATACTAAAGGCAATTGTTTCACATGACCTATGGTTTTGACATGCATTATTTGGTATGGCGGAGTCAAACAACAACATGAATGTGCTTGGCGCGTCTCTGCTATTTAACGATATTTTTCAGGGTAAAGCACCAAACATGTCATACCTTGTGAATGGACATCAATACAATTATGGGTATTACCTTGATGATGGGATATATCCAGAATATGTTGTGTTTGTCAAGTCATACTCATATCTGGCCGATGAAAAACAAAATTTGTTCAAGTTAGCATAAAAATCGGTAAGGAAGGATGTTGAACGAGCATTTGAGATCCTCAAATAAAAGTGACACATAATCAAACATCTGACACGAGCATAGGATAAGGCAAAATTGACGAAGGTGTTGACAGCGTGTGTTATTTTACATAACATGACAAAAGAAGAATAGATTAGGGCAATTTGTATGTATAGTCTGGAATACATACTTAATCCACCTATAGTAATATAAGTTGGCAACCTGACATACTTCACAAGACTATTGGAAATACAAAGTAGTGAAATACATCACAATCTACGCCATGATTTGACTGGTCACATATGGCAAAGACAATCCTAACAACACAATGATGACGAGGAGAATGAATACGTTGATGATGAAAACGAGGTCGGTAACGACAAGGACAACAACGACAAGTTTACTTTATGTGTTTTTTAATGTTTTTAAATAATTTAGGATTTAAATTTGTGTGTTTTTAGTTAATGTAATGTTTTTTAAATAATATTTATGTTTTACTTTTTTTAATTATTTTTTAATTTATTTTAATGTAAAAAAATAATAAAAAATAAATAAAAATGAATGGTAACCATTTCCAATGACTAATGGTTAATAAATAAAAATGAGTGGTAGGCAAATCATTCAATAGCTAATGGTTTGATGGTACACATGTAGTAGAGGTAACCAGGTTCATATATGATATATGGCTAATGGTTTGATGGTAGACAGGTAGACATGTGGTAGAGGTAACCAGGTTCATGTAGTAGAGGTAACCAGGTTCATATATGATATATGGCTAATGGTTTGATGGTAGACAGGTAGACATGTGGTAGAGATAACCAGGTTCATATATAGCTAATGGTTTGATGGTAAACATATGGTAGAGATAACCAGGTTCATATATAGCTAATGGTTTGATGGTAAACATATGGTAGAGATAACCAGGTTCATATATGGTTAATGATTTGATATGTGGTAGATCAAGGTTCATATATGGCTAATGATTTGATATGTGGTAGACCAAGGTTCATATATGACTAATGGTTCATAAATGACTAATGGTATACATATGGTAGAGGTAGACATGCGGTAGAGGGAGGTTCATATGTGTCACCACTTCTTGTAGTTTGTCATCATACCATTTAACCTAACTAACCTGTTAAAATTTAAAACCATTACTCATTGAGAAACCATACCCTTTAACCTAACCTGTTAAAATTTAAAACCATTACTCATTGAGAAGCAACCTCATTCACCCAAACCCCTGCAACACACAAAACAGTGAAACACCATGCTAAAAGCTCCGCTTCATACAAGCAAACCATCACCCACAAGATGGTTTTATCGAATTTACACGCTCGTTTACACAATCGCCATTTTCGCACTCGTTTATCACCATTGTTGTAACCTTATCCACTCTCCTTTCACCACCGTTTTCCTACTCATAGCTGACCTCATGCTAGCTTTCTTGTGGGTGACATGGCAAGCTTTCTTTCTGAATCCGGTGTTCCGACAGGTTTTCCCGGAGAACCTGGCACAAATGGCGAAGGAAAACGAGTACCCAGGACTGGACTTGTTTATTTGCACGGCTGATCCGTTCAAAGAACCACCGATTGGAGTGGTTAACACGGTGTTGTCTGTGTTGGCGTATGACTACCCGTCGGAGAAGCTGTCAATATATCTGTCGGACGACGGAGGGTCGCAGCTAACACTGTTTGCGTTCATGGAGGCTGCTAAGTTTGCGAGACATTGGTTGCCATATTGCAAAAAGTATAATCTAATGGACAGATCTCCTGAAGTTTACTTCGGAAGCAATCCATCCTTCTTCCCTGAAACAAGTGAAATCCAGGTGCGTGTCTTTGCATTACGAAGAAAATTAACTTTGAGATTGATGAACTGTGTTCCGGGAATCATCATCATCATATCCTCAAACCTGCTTCATTTGTTTTGTTTGGTGCAGGAGATGTACGAGATCCTCAAATCTACAGTTAAGAAGGTGATTGACCGAGGGACCATCGATCTGGATCAAATTAATTGTGATCGTACGATCAAATCATTCAGCAAATGGACCCCTGGATTTACACGTCACGATCATCCTGCAGTCATCGAGGTTCACGCTTCTTAATTTCCCGTTAATCTTTGACTTTAAGTCTAAAGTGTTTGTCATCACCTGTATATTTAATCATTTATCCAAATAATTAGCTTCATTCCAAACTAAATGCACAATGATTAATTCATATCAAATCACGATGACTAACAATGACATTTCAATGACATTGATTTCTTGTGAACAGGTTTTATTGAAAAATAACATCGATAAAGATGTTATGGGTCATTACATGCCCAATTTGTTCTATATCTCACGAGAAAAGAATAGAAACACACCACATCATTTTAAGGCCGGTGCCCTTAACACATTGGTACGCTGATTTTTATAATCTAAACATATATATGTAGTTTTACAACAAAAATAATAATTAACAACGACTTTAATTAATTATCAATACATTCACCTTGCATTTTTGTAGATCCGGGTATCAGGTGTGATGACAAATGCACCTATATTTCTTTCTTTAGATTGTGACATGTACTCAAACGATCCAAAGACACCACTTCGCACGCTATGTCATTTCTTGGATCCTAATGTTGATCCAAAGCTTGCATTTGTTCAATTTCCTCAACGCTTCCACAACATCAACACGAACGACACTTATGGTGCTGAACATGTGCTTGAGACACGGGCATGCACAGTAGGAATGGACGGTTTGGGTGGCACGTTTTTCATGGGCACTGGTGGCTTCTTTAGAAGAAAAGTTCTCATAGAAAACCCTAAAGAATCACAACAGATATGGAATGAACCAATTCAATCCAAAGATGTTTCAACATTAGCACACCATGTCGCCAGTTGTACCTACGAGGACAATACGAAATGGGGTCATGAGGTACACTTTACTTGACCTTTAATCGCGCATATACTTTTTTATCATTTTGTTATTATATATTAAACTAATTTGATGTTATTGATTACATTAAATGCAGATTGGGTTTCGATATGGTAGTTTGGTTGAGGATATATACACAAGTTTCAGATTGCAATGTTTAGGATGGAAGTCTGTTACATGCAACCCATCGAGAGCTGCATTTCTAGGCAATATGCCGATAGCACTCAATGACATTCTAGCTCAAAATAATAGGTGGTATATGGGTATGCTACAAACAGGATTATCCAAGTTTAGTCCCATGACATATGGAATCAAGTTTATGAATCCTCTCCAAGCATTGTGCTATGCACACTACCATTTCCGAGCCTTTTGGTCTATTCCAGTTATCATCTATGCCCTTGTGCCACAGTTCGCACTTGTAAACGCTTCCTCGATATTCCCAAAGGTTTGTACTTTGTAGACATAATTCTTTACGTTATTGTAAGTATAAAATGCAATCTTGATTATCAATCTAAACGAAATATAAATTTGTTGGTACAGGTTTCAGACCCTTGGTTTCCTTTATATGTATTCCTTTTCATTGGAGCGTATGTGAAAGATTTTCTTGATTATGTGATGAACGGGTCAACGTTCAAACGATGGTGGAATCGTCAAAGAATGTGGTTGATATTAGGATGCTCAAGTTACCCATTTTCAATAGTCGATTGGTTGCTCACTTCCCTAGGCATGTCGACATTTGAATTCAACGTAACAAGTAAAGTGTCAGACAGTGAAATAAGCAAACGTTATGAGGAAGGGGTATTTGAATTTGGAGTGGAATCTCCATTGCTTTTATCTGTGAATATAGTAGCGGTTCTCAATTTATTCGCGCTTATGATTGGAATTAAGCATGTTTTGATCAATGATGGGACGTTTGAAGAACTATTTGTTCAGTTGTTTATAACAGGGTTTGCTGTGTTGAATAGTTGGCCACTATATGAAGGTATGGTATTGAGGAGTGACAAAGGAAAGATGCCTGCTAAGACTACCTTGAAATCAGTTGGTGTGGTTTTGGTTATTTACTTGGCCTTCTTTTAGACATTTTAAATAGAATATTGTCATAAAGGGAAAACAAATAACATTAAGTTTGTTATATATGTCATTTATTTTTTTTAAATTTGTATAAAATGCATTCAAATAATATTATGTTATGCCATATTAGATGTCGGATGCAATATCAACGCTATGTAGATACATGTGAATAAATTATATCCTATTGAATGTCACAAATATACGTCTGTATGATTTAATACGTGTTTTTCTTTCAGAAAAGGCAAATATATTATATAAATAAAGGAACGCGATAGCAAGGAGCTAAATCAGTTCCATAGTTACAAAGAAATGGAAAGAGAAAAACAAAATATGATCATGCTAAATTAAACTTTTAAATGCTCCAAATGTGAGCAACTCCATTCAATCCAATTGCCACACCCCTCATTATTCATGTGTTTTCATTAAGAGAACGAAGTAATAATAATGTTGTCTGCCACAATACTTGGGTTCACCTTGATGTTTTTGAAGACCTTATCATTCCTTGCGAACCAATGAGGGCAGACCTGGTTTGAAATATTTATGTCCCTGATTCGTAAAGCTTTTGCCATCGGGATTCTATCCAAGACTACACGCCACACAACGCAACAAACTTTTAGTGGTATAATTTTTGACAAACATATAGTAATGCCTTTGTATGTGATCAATTTGGAATCAATGAGATGTCTTATGCGATTTATTTTGTACTTCTCGTCGGAAGACAGACCAAATTTGAAACCATATTTTTTTGGTTCCTCTGTATGATTTAATACATTAATCTAGTTAAAATATACATCAAAAACAAGAACCGAAAAAATATTAATTACCAATTGAAAGCGAGTAAAAAAATTAATGACTTAATAAACAAAGTAGCGTACTATTGGTTGTTATCTTATAATATTAACTATTTTAAATAGAGAAAATTATAAAAATAGTCTAATCCCTTAATTACTTTCTGGAAAAAAAAAACTAAATTACAAAAATAGTCGGCAGAAAAGCTATACCGAAAACGACGTTCAGAATTGGAGTTTTAGGTGGATGACATGGTCCTCCTGAAGGTATCACTTTGGAAAGGTGTCATCCGGTTCAGGAAGCAGGGAATCTGGGCCCCAGATACATCGGACCGTTCAGGGTTTTGACTCGGGTAGGTCGGGTTGCTTACCATTTGGATCTTCCAGCAGAGCTCAGCCAGATCCACAACACTTTCCATGTTTCTCAGCTATGGAAGTGCTTAGTGGATGATTCAGCGGTTGTGCCTCTAGAGGATATTCAGGTTGATGACATCCTGAATTACATCGAGAAACTAGTAGCTATTCTCGACAAGAAGATGAAGGAGCTGAGGAAAAGGAGGGTGTAGCTAGTAAAGGTGCAGTGGCAGAACCGTAAGGGCTCGGAGTGGACTTGGGAGCATGATGAGGAGATGAGGGAGCACTACCCGGAGTTGTTTCCTGACGTAGTAGACTTCAAGGATGAATTCTAAGAGAAGTGGGGGAGAATTATAATGCATGGGTCCTAGTACGCATTTAAATAATAATTTACTCATTTTTATAAAGCAACTCGACGATTTGGTAGCCCCAAACTCATCGAGTAGAGATTAGAAGGGACATGGGTTTTAAGAAACCTACTCGACGAGTAGGGCTGCCAGAATGAAACTCTAATTTCGGGGTTTTACACCCTATTTAAGCATCCTAATCCCCACTTACTAGCCTCATTTCCATCCCACAGGTCCTACACCCTAGATTCAGAAAACCTAATGCAATTGTGAGCTTGTGAGCCATTTGTGAGTGGAACTTTATGTGTTTTGAAGCTTATGAAGGAAGGATAAGCTTGAGAATTCAAGAAGAAGATAGTAGATCTTGAGACTTCATTTCTTCCTCATCATTTTAAGGTAAGCAAGCCTCAAACTTGCTTAGTAGCTTCTTAGATCTCTTTATCATCATCTTATTGGGTTTTTTGGTCCAAGAAGCTTGACCTTTGGGATTTAGACGTCCCAAGTGAGTGAACCATCAGATCTGGAATCATGGAGGGATTTTATGGCATAAAGGTGCAAAATTTATGACCATTGAAGCCCCATGCAAACCATAGGATGTTATTTTGGCCTTTTAAGCTCGAAAAGGCCATGCATGGAGTGAAAGGTGGAAGCTTTACGTGTTCATGTAGTGTTTAGGGTCTAGATCTCTATTTGCATGCTTTAGTTTGGAGTATGGATGGCTTGTGGACCAAGATATAGGTCCTAAAGAGTTAGGGTTTGAGCTAAACCTACTAAATAAAGGTATTAATGGGTAAAGCTGGAAACTTTACCCTTAAAAGGACATTTTCAGTGTACATGAGAAATATGAAGCTTAGATCTGAAGAGTAGGGGCTTAATCCATTAAGATGGCATAAAACAGACTAAGGAACTTGTCGAGTCCATAGAGGAACTCAACGAGTTGAGTCGGTTTGTCCCGATTCTATACCAGGTAGAACTCGACGAACTGACTCGGTTTATCACGACTACGAGTAGCAAGGGGACTCAATGAGTTAGGGGGATGAATCGACGACTTGGATTGCGATTTTAGGGTTCCTGATTTATAGAACTCGGCAAGTTGATGGATCAACTCAGCGAGTTGAGTCAACCCAAAACATTGACTTTGACTAGAATGTTGACTTTAACCAAGGGTAAAGTGGTCATTTTATCCTAAGAAAGATTTTGGAATTTTGACTAAATGTTATTGAGATGATGTTAGTCGGGGAATCGTGGAAGCAGACGATATAGATTTCCTTACTAAGAGATTTAGCAGCCAGCTTTGTGAGGTGAGTTTTACTCCAGTAGGAACGGCTCAAAGGTACCAGAGTCGGCCCGTTTATGTATGTTAGTGTATGTCGGACTTAGGTCCGATGCCAGGGTTTGCCCGGTGTAGGTTATATGTTTCCAGACTTCTATCCAATATCGGGGAAAGCTTGAGGAATGTTTGTATGCTTGATGTCTTCCTGATTCTTGCATATGTATGTTTATATGTACTGGGCTTCGATATGATGTCGGGTAAACCCCGAGGAATGTTTAGCTTATATGTTATGTGTTATATGTTCCGGGCTTCGGTCTGATGATGGGGCAAGCCCAAGGAATGCTTATATGTTTATGTTATGTGTTTATGTTATATGCTTTTTGATATGTTATATGTATGCCGGACTTCGGTCCGATGTCGAGCAGGGCTCGATGCCAAACGTGGTTCGATGCCGGAGTTCGGTCCGATGCTGGGTGGGGCACGATGTAGTAGGCTAGGCCCGAGTTATGTGATTATGTGTTTATATGTATGGTATGTGGTAGTTTGAGGAGACTCGCTAAGCTGCGTGCTTACAGTTTTCAATTTTAGTTTCAGGTACTTTCGCTAGTAAGGGGAAGAGCTCGGGATGATTGTATAGCACACACCACATCGTTTTAGCATGGGAGGATTTACTCTGATGTTTTGACATATGATTTTGATATATTGACAGATGTTATGATATTTTTGAGATACACGGTTTATGATTTTTATATGATGAATGATTTATGGCTTGTATTAATGATTAAATATGAAATTTTTGGACTGTATTTTTGGGATATTTCAAGTTGGTATCAGAGTCTTGGTTTAAGGGATCCGGGTGCACTCTCGAGTGTATCTGCACTCAAACTGAGGACTTGGTATAAAGATTTTCCAAAGAAAATTATTTTTACAAAAAAGATTTTTTAAAAAGAGAGAAAAAGGGTATGGTGCATGCAATCAGCTGAGCTCAAGTTAGTACTCCCAAATTATCCATACAAGTTTATTTTATGATATGCCTATAAGAAATGCATGCTAGATAAGGGTTAAGGATCTAGGAAGGATGTCTTATGTGCTTGTTATATGTGTATGAGCTTTATGAACTCCATGCTAGTACTGATTAGTCAGTGATATGATGGCCTAGTTAGGATATGTTTGATTATGTTTACTCAATGCTCGAATATTGTTTGCTTTGTGCTTTTAGGAGTTCTTGTTATATTTTACTAACTAGTAAATGAATATGCTAAGTTACATATTGCGATGACTAAATAATTTCAGAATGTTAGGTTTAGCTTTATTTCGCAGCTCTCGTTTGAGTCTAACCGTTGTAGGGTATGACCTCTCATTCGAAGAATTATTAGTCTTAGTGATATGTAGTGGTATTCGCAAGCTAGTTAGGGGGGATGGTAGGGACTTCTTATGCAGCTGATGCAATATCCAATACACCTTTAAGACCTTCGTAGACAAAAAAAGAAGACATCATAGATAATTAAGTATGCAACATATATCAACGATATAGAACAGAGGGAAATAGAAATATAGTAGTTAGGATTTCAAATGCTTGCCACTATTAAACATTGTGAAGAATTCGTAATACAACTTTGAAATTTTCACAACAAAAACAAAAGATATATCACGTATAATAGCAACCCAATGCGGAAAATAGCAATGACCCAAAAAGGGGAGGAAAATGGCAACCCAATAGGAATTCAACATATTTGACAATCATTTTTTGTATCTCCACAGATGGTTGTTTATAACAAAAATGTGCTCTATTATTCGAGTTTCTTGGGTATTTTGAGAATGGACAACAATAAAGCTCCAATGGTCAAAGATATATATTCTGGATTAAGGGAAGTAGTGATAGAAATCAAATAATCGAATCTTTTAATTACACATATCAATTGAATCATATCACTTGTTTAATATGGAGTTTACATATAATGAACGTAAATAGATCCAAAAAATTTCAACGAAAAGAGAAGATGATTTCAGAGTATGCTGTCCTATAAAAATTGTAATGTTCAAGTCCATTCATACTTTAAGGAAAAGTGTAGACTATCTCAAAGTCAAGTTAGGTGCCAATTAACCCAACTGTAAGGAATGTTTTTGGGTTTGTCTATACCAAGTATACATATTAATATAAACAAATAGCACAATTTAATTGATTTAAATAGTTATATTTTTATTGTAAGAATATAAACCTTAAAAATGATAAATCATATCTAAAATATAAAAGTCTTGTAAATACTCCCACATGTGTCAATGAACTGTATAAAAAATGCATTTAAAGAATTGTATGTCATCAGAAATAATCCAAAAAATGGTTTAAAACAAATAGATTAAACTATTTAAAATAAATAAATAAATAAGCAGCAACGTCATTTTTCATATATAAAAATAAAAAAATGTTATCTTAATAGTAGGAATAGCACTCCATTGCAAACAGAGAAAACATATAATATTTATCTTTTTCAAATTGTGGTCTATGTGTAGTCATCTTTAATGAAATTGCTGATGGATAGGATGGGTGCACATGCTATTTTTTGATTTAGGAAACGTAACAGTTTTTTTTTTTTTTTTTTTTTTTTTTTTTTTTTTTTTTTTTTTTTTTTTTAACGTTAATTTTAGTTTATTAATATAATTTTTTTTAAATATACTGATATAATTTTTTTTGAATGAGATTTTACTCGAGGGATCCATTAAAGGTTAAAAATAATGAACTTATGTTTAATCTGCGGATCAATTAAAAGCTCTGCAGATCCTCTATAACTCTGCGGAATCTTTTATTTTTATTTTTATTTTTTATTTTATTTTTATTTTTTATTTTATTTTTGTTTTTTCATTTTCTTTGTGTTCATTGTCGTTTATTAATATTAATTATTTTTAAATACACTAATACCTTATGTAATTATGTAAAAAATTTGACAAAAAAAAGTTAAAAATAATGAATTTATGTTTAATATTAGTTCACATGACTGTTTGGGAATCCACATAACTGTTATCAGCAGATCAGTGTACTTACGTATGCTCTTTTTGGAATCACCTTTGCGGATTAGTGTACACCTCTGCATAAGAAAATACGCAGAACTGTTAGAGACTAAAAAAATGACTGACAAACAGCTCTGCGGATTACCAAACAATTTTTGCGGAATAAGTAATATAAAATCATTTTACCATGCGTATCATTTCATCGATTTTGTACCATTTCTTCTTCATTTCAGTTTTTTTGAAAAATTAATCCTCATATTTTCCGTCATAATGGTTTCTATACCATGGAGCGTCGAGGATAACATTCGTCTAACTCGTGCATATATTAATATCCACAAGACCACCAGGGTGAATGATCCAAGTTATTGGACCCGTTTAACTTATGTCTTCAACGTTGACCCTCAAACTGCCCCAGAAAACTACCGCAACACCGTTGACATCACAGCAAAGTGGTATGAATTAAAAACGAAAGTCTTGGTTTTCAACAATCTTTATACCAAAATTGATGATGCTCGTCCAAATAAAGATGAGGAAGTCATCCTGGACGCGGGGAAAGCAGAATACATATCCATTAGTGACGGGTTAGAATTCGAGTTTAAAGGCCCTTGGAATCTCCAAAAAGATCTCCCATATTTTTAATTTGTATTGCGTTTGTAGAAGGATATTTTAATGTAGTTTGTTTTTATTAGGATATTTATATGCACTGGTTTGTATTACGTTATTTATATGTATTTTGTTTATATTAGGTTATTTACGAAACCAGTTGAGTTAACTTCTACTTTATTTCATAGAACATAAAATACAAAACAATACAAATACATGGAAAACATATATCAGTAACAAACATATTACATAAAACATTTCACATAAAAAACCCTTATACATGAAATACTGGTGGTTCTTAACCAGATTCCAAGCGTCCACAAAAAAGTATAGATACATGGAAAACATACATCAATAGCAAACATATTACATAAAACATTTCACATAAAAAAAATCCCTTCTACATGAAATATTGGTGGTTCTTAACCAGATTCCAAGCGTCCGCATACTCAAAGTCTTTTCCCTCATGCTCGAAAATGTAATGATCTAAAATCATTTCTACAAGAGCTTCCTCGTTTGAGTAATAATAATTACTACTATTTTTAAGATGATGATACCATCGATTGAACCATGTGATTTTGTTCTTTAACTCCATCCACTTACTAAGAATATTTACGTGTACCCGATATTCTCCTTGTCCAAATGAGAGATTGAACCACTACTAGAAAAAAGGCCCTTTACGACGCTCATTGCGCGTCGTAAAACGCTCAGACGACGCGCAAATGCGTGTCAAGGAAGGCCATGTCATAAAGAGAGACGACGCGCTTTTGTGCGTCGTCTATAGACGACGCGCATTTACGACGCTCATTTACGACACGCAATTACGACGCGCGTTTACGACACGCAATGCGTATCAAGGAAGGCCCTGTCATAAAGGAAGACGACACGCATTCGCGTGTCATAACCTTACGACGCGCGTGTTAATGACACGCATTGCATATCAAGAAAGACCCTGTCAAGAAAGGCCATGTCATAAATGAAGATGACACACATTTTTGCGTATCATAATTTTAAATGTTAAAAAAATTATTATTTATAGATTTACTAATTTTCAAATTAAATTTGTGTTTAATATCTCATAATATAAAATAAAATATCATATACAAAAAATACAATCTATTACATAAAATTTAATATCATACAAATAATCGTTCCATGGAAAGATAAAACAAATTAATAGAAGTTGTTACAAAAATTTACAAACTAATTAGATACAAGAAATATAAAAAATAATATACCCTCAAATGCTTTTCAAAGTCTAATCTCCATGTCAGCTCTTCAACTCACTTCTCTAGTTTGTCCTTAGCTTCTCTAAGGGCTCCAGCATCTCTTCAACTCACTTCTCTAGTTTGTCCTTTACCTGACAAGCCATTTGTTCAAGGAAGCAAGCCATTTTTTCCAAAAGATTTCCAAGTTATAGTCGTGTGTAATGTAATTACTTTACTATATTGTATTTAAAAAAAATGGGGATTTACATTTACTTACCAGTTCCCAAAATCGGAAGTAACGCCATATGAGGAAAATTTTGAGCCACATGAAGTTTAGGACCTATATGTGGTAAATGATGCAGGCAACATAAGACAGTGAATTTATGTATGAATAAGTGAGCAGGTTGTGAAAATAAGTCTCACCCCATATCCAATAATGAAGAGAGACATAAGGATTATGATCTGAGGAATAGTAGTCATACTGAAAGCTTATCATGCGCAAAACAACTGCCAGAAAGGAATAAAAGGAAATTGTGTGAGAAAAGAAAAAAGTAGCTCAAATAAGGTCATTGGACTATAAAAAGGAAATGGAAGTGTTATGCTATTTCTGTGGCATTTTTGGTAAAAATAAAGAAATCCAAATGTTCTTTGTTATGGAAGTAGCAATAAGCACAAGCATGTGGAATTTCTAAAAGTGTATAGAGCTAGAAAGAGGCAGATAGAGAGAGAGAGAGAGGTAATACCAAAGTTAAAGCAGATATGCCATCTAAAGGTACCCCTAAATTTGTCCAAGTAAGCTCAATGGTCTCTACAAGTGCATTCCCAAAATAAATACAAATCCATACATGATAACACAGCACAGAGTGATTAAAATTTTAAATGAAGCTACAAATGAGAAATTAACCCACCCAAAACTGGAAAATGAGTATCCCTCATAAACACGTTTACAAAGAAGAAATGATAAGTTTAAGACCCAAAGTATAAATGCGAAGTATTTTGTGCGTCCAAAAGGTTAGCTACCTCCCAAATAGATATAAGGGTAAAATGGTCATTTTCAAATTCTTTTAAATTAAACCACCATATCCATGGTAATCAGCAAAGCATTGGGACCTAGATTTTTTTTATATTATAATAAGTAAATACAATATATAGTTCTGACTCTAGAAGGCCAAACCAAAGAAACCTTATTCATAAACCCCTGTACTAACATCTATCTAGAAGAAAATGCCCAAAGAAAAACCTTCCTTTGACCAACAAACCCCAATATCAATCAATGATCAGTAATTCAACGTACCTTTTTTTTAGCAGAACCGATCTTCATCTCCATGAGCATATCATCAGATCTTTCTTTGTTCTTCTTTTGTTATGCAGAAGAAACATTATTAGGCCCTGCACCAGTGTTGCCCACCAACTTCATTAACTCTTTGTCGTTGTTGAAATACCTAGCTTCTTTCTTGGTCAACACATCCCAGTAAAAAAGAACAAATGTTCAAAGAACATATATTCTTCCATGGCATCTTCATTATGCATGGCATGTGGAGATTGAAATAACTATACAAATAAAAGCACCGCATAAGATCAAGAAACAGTAAAAAAGAACAAATGTTCAAAGAAAAACAAAAATTAAGTATCTGAGGCACCTTCCATATGGGTCCAGTCACTACTATCCAAGCACTTGACAAGGGTATGCAAAAACTTCATTACCAACCACAATTTATTCGATTACCAAGGGAATTTTGGTTGGGTAGCTCTGCATCAACAAATATGATTTATTACAAAAAGGAATCAATCAACAATGATTAGAAAAATATTGAAATAGATAATTGATTACCTGTATTAGTTTTAGGGCTTGTGTTCCGTTTCTCTTATGCATTTTATACATGAGATTCCTCCCAAATTAAGAGATTCGTGAAGATACTTTGAAACAACAAATCCAAAGTGAACAGGCTGCAATAATTTTTTTTAAATAGTAAAATTGGTGAGCAGAAAAGATCAAGTTCTTGGAGATTTCAAAAATATCAAATTTGAGAATTTGCAATGCTTAATGGCCATTGTTCATCGTCAATCTAGAATTTGCAATGTTCATTCAACGCAGTGCTAAGAACCTCAATATTAAACGCCTCTGTTGACTTCAAATTTCCACCCGATGCAGCAGCTGCAGATGCCATTACTGCAGGAATGTTGGCAGTTTTTTTACCCTTCCAACAATCCGTTTTCCCTGTTCCTATTTTTATTTCAGATAAAAGAGAGACAACGTCTGTAGTGGGCTGTGCTTTTTGCCATGTGTTTGCTTTACAAAGTTGCTCCTGAAATGTTTATGTTTGGACACAGTCAGTTTGTTAGACTTAATAAACTACAACAAAGTGAACCTTTTGAGACTACAGGCTTGTTTCTTTTTTTACTTAAACTGGACAGAATGACTTAACGAGTTAAATTTAAAATTGATGAATATTGTGAAATTTGTTTTTTTGGAATACAAGGGTAATATGGTCATTAAGTCTCATTTAAAAGGCTTGTTCAGTCTAGAATATAAGGGTAATATGGTCATTAACGTCACAAACCTGAAGAAGACCTTGGGTGGTGCATGGAGCATAGGATAGCGAATCAACAATCCACTCCTTGACAACGCTTTGGTACAAAGAGCGAACAGAAGCTACTGAAGCAGGATCATTCACGAGAGATGAAGGTGGATCACCATTCACAGAGAACAAAAGAGAATCCAAACAAGATGATTTCCACAGAATCTGCACCCAATAGAATGTTACTTAAAGTAAAGGGCAAATCATTTACTCTTTTTACCATTATAGGTAATGTAATTTATTTTTTACAGGAGATAGCATATAAAAGCTCATAAATTTGTAATACAGGTCAACAGTTTACCTGTGGAAATCTCTCTCTCAATTGAGACAACAGATTAACAGATACATCCCGAATGTGTTCTTCTCTAACAGACAAACTCTTTATGAGAAAACAAGCATGGACAACCAGAGTTGACTCTCTGACCTCAGCAGCATCTCCTGTCTCGCATATTTGAGCCTCCTGCATCCATTACAAGATTCACCTAACATTCCACACATAAAAATAAAAATGCATAATATAAAGGAATTCATAAGAAAAAGAATCACCAGCCATGATAATGCAGTCTCAAAAGCACGATGAACAATGGCCATTAAGCATTGCAAGACAGCTGGCATAAGATTTGGGTTCATTCACGTGGAATCTTTCCAGTATGTTACATTTTCAGGTGGAATCACAACCAAAAACCTAAAAGACTTCATCATTACTAGCAAGTTCCTGCTACTTCCATGATCAAATAAGCAGTAATAGTGTAATAAAGCAACAAATTTATCCTCATTAGAATTGACAAAAACTTTAGTTAACAGGTGAAATCATAAACACAAGTTCATAAGTACAAGTCAACAACTTTGACTGGAATATTATATTGAAATGTCTACATACAATTTAGGATGAACACGTTTTGGAGGGATGAGCTATAATTGCAACAAATACTCATACAAAAGGTAATTATGCATTGTTTCAGCAACAATGTTTGCAACCTGTACATATTTTTCATAGATAGTAAGTTCAAGTCTCCTCATTAGATTTGACAAAAACTTAAGTTAACAGGTGAGTGAATTGGACTATGTTTTAAAAAAGTTGTTTGAAGAAAGCTATCCTAATTTTCGTTGCTATCCTAATTCTCAGGATTTCGCCAAACTGTTTGAAGAAAGCTGCATAAACAGTGGAATAATTGAATCAACTTCAAGTTATAATAGATTTCCATAGAGCTGCTGCAAAAGACTCAACCCTGTCATTGTACAAGCTTTTATTCCCACATGCTAATATCATATCAAAAAACAAATATATTTATTTACTACGCTACGCATAAAAAATAAATACCATCATAAACAGGATATAAATTTACTAAAATTATTTGGCATTTCCCATGGTCTATAGCAGCAACACCACCTTGTTGATTTTCTGCGGCTACACGTATCATCATGTTGAAAAGCAAACCACCTGCATGAAAATTACACTTGACTCTCTTTCAGGCGTCCCATTGTTGAAAGCAAACCACATGCATGAAAATCAAGAAATGAGACTTTCTTTCCCTAACTTTTTACGAATTTGCCCTTACCTGACAAATTGTGCAGAAACTAAGTTCTTGATCAGCAGATGAAACAACTTCCAACTTAGAAGACATAAATACCCTTGTTTACAAATAACCTGAAATAAAATCCTCTGATAACCCTGATCCAGCATTCCCAATCTGCTCACCTAATGCAAGAAGCTCCTGCATATACACAAAAGGTCAATTTCGTAATTTGACTAAAAAAGAAGCCAATCTTTGTATACTCATAAGACATATGATCAATATCCATACGCATATCTCTATGATGATCAACTCTTCATCCATAATTAGAAATATCAAGCATTGCAACACCCTGTTATTAGAAAAAAAAATTAATAAAAGGAATTTCATTTTCTTGCATGATTTGATTATGAAGAGAGTAATATTTAATAATAATAATTAACATCTTCAGGAAGAACTCTTAAATGTGGAAAGTCATGTGGTCTTTCCAAGCTCGGTTAGAAGAGGGGTTTATGTAGAAGCTAGTGTTTATAAAAATCCACAGTTCCATTGAAGGAAAAAAGTTAGAGCATCAATAGAGATGAAGATTGAAACCTGCTTGAGATCTGGTCGAGATAAATTGGACACGACAAAGAAATTCAACGCACTGTTCTTCAATGTCAAATAAATTGAGAAGATGGTCTGATTCACCTGTCGTTCAATGAAATGATTCAAACAGAAGCCCTAATTTTAAAAGACGATAGCTATACTAAAAAAAGAGAGTCAACATGAGAAGTATCAAGAGGTTCACATTACCTTGGAGACGACTTGAGAAGTATTAATCAAAAGTTTCAAGATCGCTCTGCTACAATGGTTCAATCCTGCATTTTGATTTCGCCACAACCACCACAATGGTTTTGACTAGCGATTCAGTATAGGGAATAAACCATACAAAAGCTATCAAATAACCCTTGGAGTGAAATTAAAGAAACCGTGAAGATTTTAGTGGATAGATGAAGAGAGATTTTAGTGAAGAGATGAAGAGCTGGGGAGGCGACGAAATCGATTTCTAACTGAAAAGAAAAATCTAATTGAATAGATAAACCTATTAAGGTAGCGGTCAGGGAGGTGAGACGGGACGCAATCACAGGTGTAGTGGAAGAGTCGCATTCGTAGTCATCAGTGCGATGGAGGAGTCGCACACCCAATTGAGAGTGAAACCATTCAGTTATAAGTATTAGCTTATCGTTGGTCAATTTGTAATGAGGAAGGCCTGACGTCGCTGGAGGAGAAGTGACCAAAGGTGAAGCAAGGTGAACCATCCATTGTTTCAGAGCTAAGAGAGATGCGAGATTGTTTTCGTTTTTGAAAAAAACCCTAGCTAAAATGGTCACAATGATTTTGTGGAATTTAGTATTTGGTGATGTTTTGGGATTTTGTTGTGCGAGAAAAGACGAGTGGTTATGATATTAGGGTTTTTTGGGTATTGATCAGTGAGGAGAGGGAAGAACGATGGAAATAATGCAGAGGATGAACGAGATGTCTGATGATACTGAAGATGAAGGTGAGGGACCTAGGGATTTTTCTTGCTAAGTAGAAGAGGCGGGGGGATTAATTTTTAGGGTTCAATAGGCGGGGGTAATTTTCATCGATTTCATTTCCCGCCTAAAACGCGTGTTTCACTTAAAAATTATAAAGCAACACCTTTAAATGACGCACATTTTATGAAAGGCGCCCTCCGCATTTCTTATTTTTCTTTTCTGACACTAATTTTAGGGCGCGCACAAATGCGTGCCCTCTATCTTTCAAATTTTGCAAAACTGACATTATCTTTTAGGGCACTTGCAAATGCGCGTTGTCTATCAGCGAGTGTCATTGTTTGCGCGTCATTAAAGGGCTATTTTCTTGTAGTGAACATACCTATTATGCGGGTCCATTCATCACCTCCATGGTAATCAGGGGTAACCATTGTTGTTACACCTTCAAAAATGCTCAACCAACATCGTATTATAATCATCACCTCTCTTGTCGTCCATGGACGTGGAGTATCGCATTCGTAGAAGTTGGTGCATTGGAGGTCATTTCTATATTTTTCAATACGGGGGTGAGTTGATACAATATTTAACCGATATGACAATTTATACACTGATCCGTAGAGGTGTACACTGATCTGCAAAGATGTACACTGATCCACTGATAACAGTTTTGTGGATTCCCAAACAGTTCTGTGGATTGATGAAGTATACGGTTTTGGGTTTTCAGTTTCCATTTAAGGTTAGTTTTATGTGCAATTACTTATATTTTTGAAGTGCTTATAAGTTTGGACAAAACATAATTTTTTGTCGTGATACTAGGTATGGATTTTGGAGACATTTCCTGAAGTTTTGAGGTTTGCACATCACATAGAAAATGAAATTCCAAGAACGAGGGCATAGAGAATAAAATCACAATTGTCTCTCGAGCAATATTTACGTATATTAGACGTTTCAGTGGTATACTTATACATTCCTTATATTAAATATATATATATATATATATATATATATATATATATATATATATATATATAGTTAAAAATTACAATAATTTTATATACATAAATTTAATGTATTAATTTTGTAGGAACATAATATCCCACATGATTTTGAACCAGCAGCAGCCAGACAACCAATGGACACAAAGGACCGAACATCAATGACAGCAGGAGCCACATAACCAATGGACGCACGAGACCGAATACCAACCATAGGAAGACCCACATAACCAATGGTAGGGTTGCACCGATTATCAATAGCAGTAAGAGCTAGATAACCAATGGACGCAAGCAACATATAACTCATGGACGGAATACAAAAACAGATCAAAGTTTATGTGGCACGATTTGAATGAATGAAGTTTATTTCAAAGTATGTTTATTATGAAGGTTGTATGTTTATGTTTTCTAATGTATGTTTTGTAACCTATGAAAATATGGAATATTTGTATTATTTTAATTAGGTTATTTATATGCACCGATTTGTATTACATTATTATGTATTTGGTTTGTATTAGGTTATTTACGAAACAATTGAGTTAACTTCTACTTTATTATATAGAACATAAAATACAAAACAGTACAAATACATTGAAAACATACATCAGTAGCAAACGTATTACATAAAACAATTCATTATTTTTTAACCTATTTTTGTCAATTTTTTTACATAATAATCATATAACGTATTAGTGTATTTAAAAAATATATTTTTAACCTTTTTTGTCAAATTTTTTACATAATAACATAACGTATTAGTGTATTTTAAAAATATATTTTTTTTTAACATTTTTTGTCAAAATTTTTACATAATAATTACATAACGTATTAGTGTATTTAAAAAAAAAATTATATCAATAAACTAAAATTAACGCAAAAAAACGAAAAAAAAAACTTTTTTTCTTATTTTTTTTACATAATAATCACATAGCGTATTAGTATATTTAAAAAAATAATATTCATAAACTAAAATTAACGCAAAAAAATTTAAAAAAAAAACTCAATTCCGAAGAGGTGTAGCAAATCCGCATAGGACTTGATACATCCGCAGAGAGTGTTCTGCGGATCCTTTGATCATTTTCTGAAATGTGTTTTTCCTTAGTTATTTTCTTCAAATCACTCCCTCTTTTTGGTCATTTCTCGAATTTTCTCAAAAAATTAAGCTAACAGTTTTTAAAATAAATATCGTGATAATTTATTTTTTTAAAATAGCAAGTTTTAACAGAAATAAAAACAATAATGGTTTAATAGAATTAACTTTTTAAAAAGAAAAGAAGCTTTTTGAAAAATACAAAGTTCTACTAAAAACAAAATGGAAAAGTGCACTGTAGTTAATGGGTTGACTTCTAAAATAAAATGTGCTTATTTGTTATGAAAAATGAATGTACATTGCTACAATTGATATGTTTTTTTCTAAATAAAATGCATGACAACGAAAAGAACAATGCTATAATTGTTAGATGTTTCAAAGTAAAATGCCAACATAAGGGTAAAAAAATAAAAAAAGAAGTTAAGTAAACTGCATAGATAAAAAATTGAAAGGAACAATAAAATGTATTGCTATAATTGGTATATTTTTCTACTTAAAATACGTTACAACGAAAAGACCAATGCATATAATCAGTAGATTTTTCAAATTAAAATGTTTAGATGAGGGGGAAAATGTATAAAAAAAATTAAGATACATAGATTTAAAAAATTGAAAGTAACCATTATACAACTGGAAAAATCTTAAAGTACAATGCTTTAACTGGTGGAATTTTCAAAAGTAAAATGCTTTTGAAAATATCTAAAGTTACAATGCACAAATGAAAGAAAAGAATGTGTTTACGGTTGATTTTTGGTTTGAATATGTATTTGATATGATGTTGCAGCATTTCTGTTTTTTTATTTGATGTTGATTGAAGCTTTGTGAAGAAAAGTGTGTGTACTTTTCAATAACATATTCAAATCAATCAAAGATTCATTCCATGTCGTTTGTTGAAGTAAAGATGATTTTGTATATGCAAGTGGCCCACCATGGCTATTTTATTATTATTTTGATAAAACTGTTAAATTTGTTCTTGTGGTTTGCAAAAAACTTTGGATGAGATCCAAAAAAATTTCAACTGGTATGGAAGGTTCAAAATCTTGACAAAACTATAAAATTGGTCCCTATGGTATTCAAAAAACTTTGGATAGGGTCCAAAAAGTTTTCAACTTGCATGGATGGTCCAAAATCAAGAATTTCCTTTGGTTTTGGTCATTAAACAATTTGAAAAGACTCTTTTACCCTTTTCATTTGTTTATTCTATTTTATTTATTAACTTAAGTATTTAAATCTTTATAAAATAATAAAAAAAATTAAAATCATACCCCACCCAACCCTATCACTCCACCGGTAACCGCCGTCCCTCCTTCTCTCTCTATCTATCTCTCTTTCTCTCTCTCTCTCTCTCCCTCCCTCTCTCTCTCTCTCTCTCTCCAACCATCTTCTTCCTCCCCACCTTCACCGTAACGCTTTAATGACTTATTCTCCCCCAAAACCCACCTTGATTATCAATTCCAAAAAAGTCCTTTCAACACCCATTTAATGTATACAAAAATCAAATCAAACCCACAACAGTGGAAAACATTTATAATGCTACAAACCCAGAATTCAGAAGAATAACATGTCTAGATTGAACATAAATTCATATTCTATGGAAATTCACAGTTAACAATCACTAAAATATGAAGACGGAGAATGAGATCCATCATCAAGAATGGTTTCTAGGATCTTGAATATGATAACTTGTTTTGAGATATTGAATCTGATTCGATAATCTGACCATCAATTCGCCATTGTTTTTCCTTGTATCAAAAGCTATGACTCTACTAGATCGTGCGGTTCACTGAAAAACCACAAAAGAAGAAGCAGATGATGAGTTTCGCGGATGAACACACACACATAGTGTGATTTTTGTGAGAGGGAAAAACGCATCAATCTGTCACAGTAAACCACCGCTAGCAACCTCTATTAACAGGTTTCATCCCCACCAGAAATCACCATCTCCAGCGTTGTTCATCTTCTTTCCTTTTCTCAAACCTGCAGATCAGAAAAGAAGAAGAAGGAGAAAAGAAGGGGTCGATATTTTTGTGGGTTACTAGTGAACCAAACTTCATACTTGTACATGTCGATTTGATTCAGAAGAAGAAAAAGGCTTCAATTATTATTATTATTATTGCAGTTGGAGTTTTTAGGAGCTTCGATTCTAGAGAGAGAGGGAGATATATATATATATATATATATATATATATATATATATATATATATATATATATAAGACACTGGTACGGTGAGGGTAGGATAAATAAGTCTTTTTATTTTTTAATTAAAATAATATTAAAACAAATATAAAAATGTAAGAAATAAATTAAGAAGGTCATAAAAGTCTTTTTAAGTTTTTTAGGACGAAAACCACGGAAAAGTTTTGATTTTGGACCTTCCATGCAAGTCGAAAACTTTTTGGACTCTATCCAAAGTTTTTTACAAACCACAAGGACCAAATTTACAGTTTTGTCCAAAATAATTCTTTGGTTTTGGTCCTTGAAAATTTGAAATTACTCTTTTGCCCATATTATTTATTTTTCATATTTTCTTTATTTGTTTTAATTGTTTTGTAATTAGAAAAAAAAGCAAAAGAAAAGAAAAATAAAAGGACGACCCCACCCTCCCTCCCCCCCCCCTCTCTCTCTCTCTCACTCTCTCTCTTTCTCTTTCTCTCCTTGGAAGCCTTTCTCACATATCCCTCTCTCTCTTTCTCTCTCTCTCTCTCTCTCTCTCTCTCTCTCTCTCTCTCTGAAAGCCTTTCTCACAGATCCCTGAGTCCCTGTTCTTTAAAACCCTATCAACCATGATATGAACCCTAACTTAGTGTATAGAAACACGAATCGTGATTGGTGTCTCCGGTCTCCTTCTTAACCTTCTCTATTCAGATACACCATGAACTGTCGCAATGAACCTTATTTGATGTTCCAAGGCTTTCACTAGAAGATATCGCTAGAATGGGTCGGACAACTGTGAAATATGATTTTGTAGATAGAGAATGGATCAAAAAACCCGATATAACAATACAACATTATACAGAAGGCGATTGGAGATCGTTAAGGATTCAAACTCCCATAGGGTCCGATCAAAACCCTCCTCCCTACCCCTTCTAGTTAAACCCCTTTTCGACTAATGCATCCCTCTTCTTTGTTCATTTTTTGTATCTAATCTCTTTTCATCTCGATTCAATTATTTGATGGGTCTGATGGATGCTTATGGTGGAGGTGGTGGATTTGTATCTTTGTTACTGGTTTTCTGGTCTAGAAATGGTGAAGAAGACTAGGTGGGAAAGAAGATGGAGTGGGGCCATTTGAAGACTAGATTGAGTTCAATTCATGTAGGTACAACACATCTGAAGACTGATGGTGGCGATCTCCAAACAAATCTTACATTGCAGAAAGAGAAATAAGCATTGTTATTATCTTCTTTCTCATCCGTAAAGATCGTTCTTGCTGCATCTTTTTATACCCTGAAACCATTCAAGGAAATGGTTTAGATTTAAAGTTGAAAGAATGGGGAATCGAATGATATAAGAAGAAAAGAATGTGAAAGATTACTCAGTAAAGCTGCAACCCATGAACTTAAAGTATGGTTGATGCCCACAAAATGTTTGATCTTTTGTCTTAATGATCTTTCCATACTGCAACTTGTAGTTCTTAGTTATGTTCATTGATTTTCATTAATCTGGCTTCACAAATTTCTGTTTAAGCCACAATTGGGTATTTAAGTTTATTGAAGCACTTGTTAAAGTACCTAAATCAAAAACAGGTGATGGTGTCGTGTATGTGAGAGAGAGAGAGAGAGAGAGAGAGAGAGAAAGAGAGTTATTTCTTTTCTTTTTTATTTTTAATTTAAAATAGTATTTTAAAAATTAAAAAATATATATAAAAAAGAAGGTAAAAGGGTATAACCGTCATTTCAAGTTTTTTTTGGACCAAAAACACAGAAAAACCTTGATTTTGGACCTTTTATGCAACTGAAAAACTTTTTGGACCCTATCCAAAGTTTTTTAAATACCACAGGGACCAATGTTACAGTTTTGTCTATTATTTTTTTAATCGGATACTATCAAATAAAAACCAAATAGTACTCTAAACACCTTCTCCTAAAGCACAAAGACATAAAACTTCACACTAATACAGAAAGATTGCAAGTATGGAAACAGAAAGATTCTGAGGTGCATGTTGATGTAGATGTTGGGGGTTTAGAATTGTATCCAAAAGCGGACA